AATTACATCACTGTATACAATCACAAATTATTATATAAAATATGTATTGTAAAAGTTCCTATACATACTACATGTGATATAGGCCTAATATTGAAATAAACTATACACAGCTGATTGAAAAGGGAGGTAATTTTGCAGCACAAAATACCACTTCCATATTTCAAAAAAATCTTTACCCAAGATCGCTTCATTTATATAACTTGTTATTTTTCATATAACTTTTGTAAACATTTCCCCACTTAATAATCCATAGGTTGAGATAGGTTAAGCAGAAAAACATATGTAAATAATATTTTCTTGAGCCCAACATGTTAGACGTATTTAGAAAAAAATAATTTACTTTTAATTTAATGAACTGTACTGTAAAAACATAACAGAGTAATCACACCATATACCTGAAGAAATTAAATTTTACTTATAAAGACAATGTCACATACCAGATAATATCCTATCATAGGAAACAAGAACACCGTAGTGGTGCGTGTCTGTAAATGCACGGGTAAACACAGGACCAGCACTTCCGCTGATTTCCAGTTATCGTTCGTTAATTTCCCCTAGCGGACAGCAGAAATGCTACATGTGAAACATTTTAGGTTTTTCAAAACAGAATATAAATGTTTTAAGAACAGTAGTAAATGTATAAATGTATGACGGTTTTTATGAGCTGATCAGGCTGGTGATTATTCTATATATGATGTTATCTGATCAGCGAATGGAGTGTGGTGGTTGAGGAAATTACAGCCAAAACCAACGAATCTGATGTCGTCACTTGCACTCCATCCGACACCCATAACTTTTATTTGAGGGTTTGGCGAAGTTTTGAACAGTTATATCTAATGGTTAGTTAACAGTTCATATATTATTTAAGACATTTTTAAAAGCACATGTTTGACTGTATTTTAAAAATCTGCAAGACGTGTTGTCGTCAGAGAAACAAAAGATGTGTGAAAGAAATGTTTCTTAAAGTTTTAAATTTTAGATTTGGAAAAGGAACTGACTCATCAGGATGTTCTTAGACAAAAAAATGTTTGTATGAGAGTCATAGGAATGTGAAACCCAATGGGGATGACTTATCATTCTAGTAAGTTTATTTGTGTCCATTGATTGTGCACTGAATGTTTAATACTGTTTAAGAAAAGGTATTATCTGAATTTGATTAAACTTTTATTATTTTACAGGGGGTTGTGTAAAATTTGCTGAAGTGTGTCTTTCTGTGGCAATGTGGACGTAGCAGTGACAGGACAACCGTATCCAGTCATAGACATACACAGAAAAGTTTAGCATTGTTCACATAATATGTCTCTCTGCTCGAATCGTTCTCTTTTAGTGAGGAATGCCAAGAAAGACATTTCTGTGCAATGTTCTGAGGTTGATTTCCCCAAATGCTTTATATGCTGCATATCAAAAGTTTTGAACATTGAACACTTCTTCTTCTTTTTTTTCTTTTTTTTGTAGCCACCCAATGGACATTTTCCCCAAAAAAATCCGTAAAACAACTAATAAAAAAAATGGCCTTATAGTAAGTCTGTGTAAGAATTTGATGATAAGGCAACTTGCAGAAATATGACAAACCTATATTGCAGCTGGATTTATTGCTAAAAGTCAGTTCACATTCAAATTCGTAATCCATTCCCCGGGGTGTGCATGTTCTATTATTCATACAAGGCGAAGAAAGACATGCATTGTCTATTTACAAAAATATGCAAATTACATCCTATTTCAAAAACATTAAATTATTTTGCAAAAAATAAAAAAAAAATCAATTGCAAAGTTTATACAATATTTATATTTTGATGATTCTAGCTTCATATATATTTTTTCAGGGAGGAGGGGGTTAAACAATGATTTATAACATTATTACCGATACGTACACTGACATACATATCCATTCAAATTGAAGCAATGGATATCATTCCACATAAATTTTGAGCCATACATCCTAAATTCCATGCAACATTCATTATTTCTGCGGTTGTTGGGTTCATCTGCAAAAAAAGATATTCAATGACGTTACAATATCATCAATATCATATTTCTTAATATTTCCATTTCTATTTGCTTTATCTGTTGAAACTCTGTGAGTTAGTTCAGTTGATTTCTTAATCATTCTACCGGAATGTACATTTCGCCAAGAAGAGGAGGCCTAATATGCATGTATAGCTCGTGCGTCCGTCTTTTCTGTATGTAAATCCATATGTTCCCCTGATCATTTTCTGTATGAACAACAATTTTCATATTGTTTGGAACATATAAAACCTAACACCGTCGAGTGTGAAATGCAAGATTCATTCTATTTTTATCATCATGAGTTTAAGGGCCAATATCCCTCTGCTCCAAATTTCCCGATTTTTTTAAAATTCCAAATAATGATTTTCATCAACAACATTAATGAAAATTAAATTAGCATTAAATTCAAATGGAGAATAGTTTGAAGTATGAAGCGTTGCTTTCTTTTTCAGAAATGAATAATATGTCAAATCATGTTGTGAAGAAAATTTGATATGGTAAATAGAAAGATCAATTATTTTCTATCTCACGATAAAATTAGAAATACTGTATACAGGGAAATTTTCGCCCCCGTTTTATTTTCGCCCCTTTCGCCCTCTACTTGATTGGGCGAATTTAAAACGGGGCGAATTCAAATTACACCTCATAATTTCTTAAACAGAACTATGACTGGGCGAATTTAAAACAGGGCAAAATTGTTCACAAGTTCAAAAGGGCGAAAATAACACGGGGCGAAAATAACCCAGTATACAGTATGAGGTATATAAAGAAATAATATTTACTTTCATACCTATCTAATAAATTCTCATTAGAAAACATATCAAAGCGTAGCTTTTTAAATCAGAATTGATTTCTGTGCTTGTAAAATAATACGCATCAATAAACAAGAGTTATCTTTCGATCCATTATCGCCCTTGAAAATATTTTTAGTGAAACAAAATATTTATTAAATCTTTTTAAACAATTCTGCTTCTGAAATTTCTGTAACAATGAAATGACTTATACGTTAAGAGATAGAAATATCTCAATTTACACCATTTAAAGGAACTGGGTTTAAATGTTTTAGGTAAACTATTATAAATGATTTTAAACAAAAAATACGGGCAATAGAAACTAGAAATCCACATCTGAACGTTATGTTAGATTCGATTGAGTTGACTCTAAAATGGTCCTTGTGAATGAAATCTATGAAATCTAACATGACAATTCATTGAATTTCATGGGAAATTGTTTTCAGAAAGTTATCTCTCTTAGAGAGGGATATTGCCCCTAATCCCTCACTTCAGAGTGTAGACTGCTTTGGGGAAATACAGGTACGTACAGATGAATATTTCTAGACAACAGTTATCAAAAAAGGGAGATAATACGTACCATTTCGTAAAACCCAAATCGCGGAAAAGCAGTAAACAGTTGTCTCAAAAAGGCTACAAGGTTCCAAAATAAGCTAGCAATACAGGCCTTATTAAAAGGGACACAGTAAACGCAGATTCAAGCTTTACCCGGAGCCCAGTACCTTGGGCCATTCACATTGACAATTGTCCCATCTACCCAGGTAAATGTACCGCGATCGTTACATGGTCTCTTGCCTCCTATGTGATAGTTTCCTGTCAGAAGGTGTTCTTTAGAAACAATAGAAAATAGACCATATTTCAATTTGTATTGTCAGGAAATAAAATATTTAAAATTGGTGCACACAACAAATCAAATGAATTCTGCAATTCTGAGATTTTGGTAAACTTGAAATTGTAGTTAATTGCATACTTACTTACGATAAAGTCTTCATCTTCATATGAATGCACAGTCGCTAATTTTCCACCAAGGTCTTCACATCGGTATTTTGCCACATCCGAGGTTACACTTTCTTTATTAAACAAATAGGCAAGTCCATTGTCTGGACGAGTCTCACTTCGGTATGATACCCCAGTAACGGAAAACCATATACATATATCTTTGAAAATACATACATGTATTAACAAATGATAATTGAAGGTGTGTGTGAGGATGGGTAAGAGAGAGAGAGAGAGAGCACATACTTACTAAATATAATGAAGAGTCTCCCATCCTTCATTTTAAATGTGTTAAATTTGCATTTAGTCTTGAATTAGCTTTCCGGATAGCAATTCAGTATACCTCATTACAGCATAAAATTTAACCGTTTTACATTGTAATAGGTCTGCAGAGAAATTTCTTACAATTAAGCAAAATACAGGATAAAAATAGAGAAGAAAGATTTAAAATAGCCGAGCAAGTAATCTTGAAGACATAACGTGATTGATTTTTTTCCTTCACAACACAGAAATTTGATAACATATTGATTTTAGATACCGAGTCATTTGTTTACACAAAAATGATTTTGAAAAAAAACACTGAAAGAAGAAAGGAAAAGCAAATAATCTACAATATTTTTAAATACTTTTTAAGCATTGTACTCTTTCGTCGTTGTCATTTTCATTGTATACTGTCGCCCTGGAGAATTTTAAACTAATATGGAGACGCCACTACTTGCCAATTGGGCTTACTGTTTATATAGGTACATATTTTTTTCCAGGGTCGGCGGGAGTAATGAATTTTCCTTAGTTTTCTTAAATACGGTATCATGTATTACAATTTGTCGGTGGACAATGCTGCTTATGTAATGCGACGGACGTGTCCATCAGAAGGCCAAAGGTATCGATTGGTATTTGATAATGATAAAAGTATGACATTTAAAACTAAACAATTGTATGACTTGTATCACGTTTGACAAGCACGTCGTCACATGTGCAGCATAAAAAAGAGTATTTATTTTGAAACTAACGCTGTTTTCTGCATAAAACTAATTTTAAAAAAATACAAATCCTTATGATATTTTATCTATTTATTTATTTGCTGTGCAAAAAAAAAAGAAAACACTCGGTTAAAACATAGATAATCGTTTGAATTGTGTGTTCACTAGCCATTTGTGTACAAATGTATCATATTATACATCTTAAGAAAATTATAAAGAGAACAAAAAAGATGTTTCGTTTTAATTTCCCAATCTTTGTTTTGCAGACAATGATAATGTTAAAGGTGGTATGGACACAACTCAGGAAAGTAGAGAAAATATCAAAGAAGTTTGAGAGTGTATCACAAGAGATGTCTATACTTTGGATTAACGTCTAGTTGGCACTCGGGACACGGGTAATCTCGATCTAAAAACGGTGCATACCTGAAACAAAAGTGGAAAACAACAGATACCAGATGACCATATAATGCAAGTCAAATCATTCTTTGCACTACCATGTAGACGTTTTCAATGTTATTTGATATCCATGATTATTTCATGTGTATGGACATATATGTATATAAATATACATATTACCAGAAGTTGATTGCTAGATTTCTTCCTGCAGTTATGTTAGGAAAGGACTGAACTTCATGCCACCAAAAGGAGGGCAGGTACAGAATAATATATTTGAAAACTTACATATATGTATTGTCTAGGATTCAATTTAACATCCAGACGTATTTTGTTTATTAAAGATATATTTGAAAATTTATTTTACTTATATATCTTAAAAATCATTTTTTACGAAATGTGGTACATGAAAAATTGAAATCTATCGAGGAAAATGTTACAAAATGTTACATCTTATTAATTTCAACAAATTAAGGATATTATCAAGGATATTATTTATGTGATGTTTAAACTAAAACATAATTTAGTTATTTTGAAAAAAAAAGTAGTTAAATACCTGGGAAAGAAAATTATCACTTGCATCAAAATGCAATTTTCCAAGAGTTTTTCCGTCGCTAAGCCAAATGTTTAACATCTCCTTTTCTAAGAGACCCTTAAAAAGTATCTCTTCTTGAATATCGTTTTCCAGTTCTGGAAGATACTGAGGAATTGAGGCGTATTGTAAATACGCAGACATATTAACAATGGACCCATTAGAAATTCCATCCAAAATGTCCATAAAATCCGAAAATTTCCTTTTTTCATTAGCGGGTATTACCATCACCAGATCTGGTGAAAAAATTTGATCAGCGCCTGATTGAGAAAGCTTGAAGTTTTTACGATTTTTCCAAATGTTAATAGGTTCGATTCTTTCAAATTCATTATGTGGCGTGAGTTGGAACAAAATTTCGTGTTCGCCATATTTCTCTCTCAAGTATTTGTTTGACCATTTTGTATAAGCAGGCCAGTCTTTCAGAACTCCTTTGAAAATAACGGGCTTTGACCTTTTTAAATATTTGCGGAAAAAATCTTCACGTGATGGAAGGGGAATTCTATCGCATTCGGGAAGTCTTGGGATTTTATGAGCATGCAAATGGCGATCTGAATAACAAAAGTTATCATTTTCAGAACATTTTTGGAAAAACACATCTTTGGATTGAACATCAGAAACATGTTTAACGTAAAATTTTGATTGCAGAATCTCCATACGATGAAATCCTTGTTTGGATAAACCACCAGTAGCATTAAGAAACGCGCCACAACCCTGATTTAGAAAGTCCATCAGCTTTTCAGTGTGGAATTTGTCTTTATAAACAAAAGGAAAAGTACTTCGAGATTGCAGAATAGGATATAATTCATGTCTATCTTTCTTTATTTTCTCGAATAACACTACATTTCCAATGTGAATAGTTTCATTATGCTTTCCAAAAACTGTCTCATCGGGCCATCTGTCATTAATATCGATAAATCCAACCAAGATTCCATGTGCATTGTTCAGCAACAGATTTCTTAGAGACTGAAATTGTTTATACATGTACTCCTTCGAGAGATCAGTAACACTGCAACCATCAGTCACATAAGCAACTAAGCATGTAGACTTTGCTCTCCTTAAAACAAAATCTAGCGAAAAACACCCTGATAGTGCATACACACAAGAAATGGAATAAAAGCCACACAATAACAAAATATTAACTTGAATAAATAACCTTTTCTCGAACTGACTTCTCATTATGAACCATTATAAGTCAACTTCTGTATAAATTCAAAAAATGATTTCAAATCTGTTTTGGGTACTTGTTTGGAAAATGGCTCAGTTTAGTTCCTACACTAGTCGTTTTCAAAAATAGACATTTTCTACCTACATTGTAAACTATGCACACCTGTAAAGAACGCATACTTTCCCAGAAATAAAATGGGCGATGTTACTACTGCTTATTCCTAAAGATCGATTTCCTGTATTGTTTTCAGAGTCAGTTAAGACATTTAAAAAACATTACTTGGTCTGGTTTTCTCTGGAAGCTTTGGCTAATGAAAGGTGTTTTTGAAAGATCTATTTGAAGGAATTAAGCATGGTCTCTAATAAAGTCGGCAAGATCGATTGATCCTTTAAACAATAAATAAGCCTATATTAGTGTCATAAATACAAAAGATAATTATTTTAGATATCTTTCATGGTCGACTGCAACGTTTTCATTGACAATTTTGGGGGTTACATCAAGATTGCTTTGAGATCAATGATATATTTCTTCGCAAAAAATGGCAAAGTAAAAAAGTTATTTTTCAAATGTACATTTTTATTTAAAGTTTCTAGCTGTAATGGTTATTTTTCATTAAATGTCAATTCAAAAGTCCCATCCGAGGACGTCAGATGCAATGAAAGTCGCGAGAAAATGACATTCTGACACTAGTAAATGCCCATATTGACTAATATAATACACCATATATTTTTAAATTTACAGTTTAAATTAAATCGCCAATGGAGATATTTATATTGAGGAGAGTTGTAGACGATTGTATAATTGACACTTGACCTTTCACTTGGTAAAACTTGCATTCATTTGTGGTTCCGGGGGGTTCAAATTCCCATCTTTGACCTTCTACATGTATATCTTAACATAGTAGGATGTTGGTCTTGTGATACATAAATATGTACTTAAACTTCAAATAAAAATGAATCGCTATAGTTATGTTCAGTATATTTTTTAAATAATTAAACATCACACCAAGATCTCTGAAGAAAAACCTGAACATATCAAAAGTCAAAGAAGATTGAGGATGTATCATAAAAGATGTCTGTACTTTGGATTAACGTCCAGCTGGCACTCGGGACACGGGTAATCTCGAGTTAAAAACGGTTCATACCTAAAACAAACGCATGTTATAAACAGCAGATAATTATATGAAATGACAATATCAAATCATATTTAATGCACTACTCAGAAACTAAAGAATTCAATTGGTATTCATAATGCCATAAGATTGTATTACTTTTAATGTGCAAAGGAAACATCAAGTGAAATTTATTTCAACGAAATTAGTCAACAATAAGCAAAATGCTTAAACTATTATTGATAACATTACAATACAAGAGGCCCAGGGGCCACAGCGCTCACCTGAGCACATCGGGCTTTAACCCCCCCCCCCCAGGCGTTCATCATTTGAACAAACTAGAATCTACACTACCTGAGGATGATTCCATATAAATAACACTAATTTAGCTTTGAAGTACTTTGAAGATTTTAAAAGGTTTCCATATATATCCCTTTGTAAAACTTGGGTGGGCCATTTTGGCCCCAAACTAGCCCCAGGGGTCATAATTGAACAAACTTGAATCTACACTACCTGGGGATGATTTGAATTTCACCTTTCCTGGCCCAGTGGTTCTTGAAAGAAGATTTTTAAAGATTTTTCCTATATATTCCTATGTAAAACTTGGGTCGGCCATTTTGGCCCCACCTTGCCCCAAGGTCATCGTTTGAAAAAATTTGAATCTACACTACCTGAGGAATTTCACATGAGTTGCACCTTTCCTGGCCCAGTGGTTCTTGAGAAGAAGATTTTTAAAGATTTTTCCTATATATTCCTATGTAAAACTTGGGTCGGCCATTTTGGCCCCACCCTTGCCCCGGGGGTCATGATTTGAACAAACTTGAATCTACACTACCTGAGGATGAATCCACATGAGTTTCATCTTTCCTGGCCCAGTGGTTCTTGAGAAGAAGATTTTTAAAGATTTTTCCTATATATTCCTATGTAAAACTTGGGTCGGCCATTTTGGCCCCACCCTTGCCCCGGGGGTCATGATTTGAACAAACTTGAATCTACAATGAGGATGATTCCACAATCACCTTTCCTGGCCCAGTGGTTCTTGAGAAGAAGATTTTTTTAAAAATGCCATTAATTTTTCTCTAATTCATAATTATTGGAAAAGGGTGTGGCCCTTCATTTGAACACTTGATTCCCCTTCACCCAAGGAACTTTGTATAAAAAGTTCATGAGAAGAAGATGAAAATGTGAAAAGTTAACGACGACAACGACGACGACAACGACAACGACTACGACAACGACAGACAACGGACAAATTTTGATCAGAAAAGCTCACATGAGCCTTCGGCTCAGGTGAGCTAATAAAGTCTTTCGAAATATGAATTTATTACCAGAAGTTAATTGCTAGATTCCTTCCCGCAGTGATGTTAGGAAAGGACTGAACTTCATGCCACCAAAAGGAGGGCAGGTATAGAACATCCCCTTCCTCTAGAGTACAGTTCAGGGGGTAGGTTTCTCCGAACAATGGAAATCTCTGCCAAAAGATTAATGGAACAGTTTTCAAAATATAAAAGTTATTAGTCAAGAATTGCAATCTAATCTTTTGTTTTTGCAAGTCAAAATTCATATAACAGACAGGAAAAGTACCCTAAAAACATGACTTCTCTTTTGAGATAGTCCAAGGACGTGTCTATTTTGTAAATAACCAACGAACTTGTTCACTTAGCTTTGATTTGATTGATTCGAACATAGATTGAAGTATATTTTATTGTCTTTGAATTCTCAGCTTAGGAACTGGCAACACTTCTTATTAATCCCTTTCCCTAAACGTACGTGAATTATTTTAAACATATCACCTGTAAATTATTTATACATGAACTTCTTTTTCACATCATTAACAATATGCATGTAAATTTTGTTAGTGGCTCTTTCACAAAAACAACATAAATTTGCATAAAATACCTCGAACATTAATGAAAATAATAAATATCCAAATTGCTCGTTGAACTGCCATCTAAGTGTCTTTGAATATTAACTCAATACGAAATTACGCATTTGTTCCAAGCATGCATCATACATGTATACTCACTGTATAATTAGGGTTCATGATGTCAACGGGAGAAAATGCTTGCACCGTATTGTCTAGCAAATATCGTCTTTGAAATGACTTTGACGTAAAATTATACGACATGCTAGCTTCCTGAATGTGACCCTCATATAATTGATGGTTGTTGTGTGGATCGAATAATATAACTTGCTTTCCTCCACTTATCTACAAATAGTAAAGTCTACAATTATTCTAATTAAGTAATAAAGGTTTTCTCACTTTTCCATAAATACATGTACTAATGAATAATAAATTAATACTTTAGATATTGTATTAAAATTCTCATTCATTATTTATTTATCATAAAAAAGAATCTTTATTTTTTTTTTTAAGAATATACTCATTTTACCTGGCAAAGAAAATTATCATATGGATCAAAATGCAATTTTCCAAGAGTTCTTCCGTCGCTAAGCCAAATGTTCAGCATCTCCCTTTCTAGGAGACCCTTAAAGAGAACCTCTTCTTGAATGTCTTTTTCCAGTTCTGGCAGATATCTGGGAATGGAAGCGTATTCTAAATATGCAGACATATTTACAATAGACCCATTAGAAATTCCATCCAAAATGTCCATAAAGACCGACAGATTTTTGCTTTCAGTAGCGGGTCGTACCATCACTAGATCAGGAGTAAGAATCTGATCTGCGCATGATCGAGGAAATTTAAATTTTTGGTAATTCTCCCAAATATTCATAGGTTCGATATTTTCAAATTCACCCTGTGGTGTAAGTTGGAACATGATTTCTTGTCCGCCGTATTTTTCTCTCAGATATTTGTTTGACCATTTTGTAAATGCTGGCCAGTCTTTTAAAACTTCTTTAAAAATAACAGGCTTTGACTTTTTCAAATATTTGTGAAAGAAATCATCACGTGTTGGAAGGGAGATTCTTTCGCATTCGGGAAGTTTGGGAATATTATGAACATGCAAATTACGATCTGAATAACAGAAGTTGTCATTTTTTTCAGAACACTTTTGCAAAAACACATCTTTAGACTGAACATTTGAAACATTTTTAACGTAAAACTTTGATTGCAGAATTTCCTCCCTGTAAAGACCTTGTTTGGACAGACCACCAGTAGCATGAAGATACGTATTGCAACCCTGATTTATAAATTGTATCAACTCTTCAATGTTGTATACATTTCTAAGAACAAGTGGAGCGATACTTTGAGGTTGCGCAGTTGGGTATATTTCCGTTCTGTCCTTGGTAATTTTTTCGAACAACACTATATCCCCAATATTAATAGCAACATCATGTTTTCCAGTAACTTCACTTCCGTCGGGCCAGGCATCATTTATATCAATAAATCCAACCAAGATTCCATGTTTATTGCTAAGCAATAAGTTTCTTATATATTGAAATTGTTCATACTCTTTAGATGGATAGTGTTCAACAACAGTGCACCCATCAGTCACAAAAGCGACTATGCATGAAGTCCTTGCTCGCCTTAGAATAAAATCTAGCGAGAAACATCCTGATAATGCATACACATACGGAATGAGATACAATAGACACAATAATTTAAATGTGTCCTGAAAGAATGGCAATTTTTCGAATCTACGTATCATTTGGAACCAAGGTAAACTTCTGCATAAATTCAGTTAAGCAATTCCAAATTGTTTTCGAATACAAGGTAAGGTCCTGATTATTGACTTTTTAATGATTTTTATTTAAAATATGGACAAGTTCCTGTTTAGCTAGAAAAGATCAGAGAGTCTACTGTGAATTTAGCACACCTGTTATTGAATGTGTACATTCTCAGAGAAACTGAAAATAAAGCTACTGCATTATATTAAATCCTACTCTCAAGATCAATTAGATATTTAAACACTTAAAACAATTGATAAATAATAAAAAATAATCAATTTATTTAAAAATGAAGATTGAGATATCTGAGACAATTAAATGTAATTCTAATACTAGTACATGTATATCATAATAAATGTCTGTATTGTGGGTTTACATCAAGCTGACATTCTGGGCAAGGGAATTCTCTCACTAGAAATGGATCATACCTGTAAAAAAACAAAATACATGGCTACTTTTCTCGATCAAAGAAATATCGATATTTTTCAAATGCTCAATTTTATATATAAACTTCTCAAATTAAATTAGTGATTTTCAAAAGTTTAACTGGTACCTCAAGCTAGCTTTCTATTTTGATTTATGAACATATCAGCTACCTTAATATTTCTCTATTAAAGGCCCACAGATGGAAAAGGTCACTCTAGTGTCACAATGTATGTGTGAACTCTATTTTTGTTTCTTTTTTGTTTTTGTTTTTGTTTGTTTTTTTTTTTTGGTTGATACAAGGTACATGTAGCTCCCATATAATTTTGTTAAATTATAATGTTGCTTCTTTAGAAGTTTGTTTGCAGGCTCCACCCAATGTTCACTATTTCTTTATTGTTGTGACGGACAACATTGACCAAAACAGATAGCAATTGGTTAGTTAGTTACACAAGAATCTCTGATGATATAACAGAGCAAATTTTTGAAAATAATGAAAGAAAAAGTGAGCAAGCTCACATACCCTATGCTCCCCCAAAACTCAAAGTGCTGAAAATCCCGGAAAAAATAAAGGAATTGGAATTTCTCGGTAATATGCACATCTACACATTGTGCCCTAAATATCTGCAAAGTTTGATGAAATTCTGTGCAGCGGTTTATGAGGAGTTGCGCTGACAAACTGTTCATCTCTATATTTAAGATATCCCCAAAAATCTAAGTTGAAAAGTGCGGAAATTCTCGGAAAAAATAAAGGAATTGGAATTTCCTGGTAATATGCACATCTACACATTGTGTCCTAAATATCTGCAAAGTTTGATGAAATTCTGTGCAGCGGTTTAGGAGGAGTTGCGCTGACAAACTGTTCATCTCTATATTCAAGATATGGCCAAAAAATCTAAGTTTTTAGTGTGGAAATTCCTGGAAAAAAAAGGAATTGGAATTTCCTGGTAATATGCACATCTACATATTGTTTCCTAATTATCTGCAAAGTTTGACGAAATTCTGTGCAGTGGTTTAAGAGGAGTTACACTGACAAACTGTTCATCTCTATATTCAAGGTATGGCCAAAAACCTAAGTTGAAGAGTGTGGAAATTCCCGGAAAAAATAAAAGAATCGGAATTTCCTGGTAAAATGCACATCTACACATTGTACCCTAAATATCTGCTAAGTTTGACAAAATTCTGTGCAGCGGTTTATGAGGAGTTGCGCTGACAAACTGTTCGTCTCTATATTCAAGGTATGGCCAAATGCCTAAGTTAAAAAGTGCGGAAATTCCCGGAAAAAATAAAGGAATCAAAATTTTCTGGTAATATGCACATCTACACATTGTGTTCTAAATATCTGAAAAGTCTGACAAAATTCTGTGCAGCGGTTTATGAGTTGCGCTGACAAAAACTAAGGACTGACGGACTGACTGACTGACTGACACTCTGACAGACGGGTCAAAAACATTATACCTCACGCAACTTGTTCCATGGGGTATAACAAATGCATTTGGAGTTACGAAAAAAAATTACTATTTTAATCAATCTGGAATCAAGCTAAGGGAAAAATCAGGTGGTCATGGTTCTTACAAAACATTGGAGCTGAGAATAATTCTGACCACTTTTTTCAATACTACCAAGATACACTGTAATTGCAGAGATTTAACAAAATGTGCCCTTACTGGTGACTGGCCCTATTTCTCAATCACATTTCCTTTATTAAAGGAAGACTGACAAATCATTTGAATAAATGTGAATTCTAGAAAAGTAATTGAGCTAGAAAGAAATACCCAGTAGCTAACAGCTAGACCAACAGATGAACACAAAATGCATATACGGGTGAAACACAATAAAGGGAACAGTAAGGTTGCACTTGAGGGTAAAAAACTGATGTCTTTATTTTGCCAAAAAAATATTTTTTCTCAAAAGTAGAGTATCTAAAGGATCTGAAACATAAACGGTTTTATTTTATTCACATTAGAACTTTGTTTTATACAAGCTGATAATAACCTCATTTTCACAGGTTACGGACACTACAAGTGTTGTTTTCTTTGAAATAAATATTGAAAACTGTTTATAAACTTTAATTTTTTTTCAAATGCTCAAAACAAACAACATATAGAAATACTAAATATGAACAAAAGTTGGACTAAAAAAGGTGGCATTATACTTTAAAACGAAAACAGTTCTTACTTCGTACATTTTTGTTTAAAATGGTAGTATTTCAATTTATGTAAACTCTTCAAAACCAATTTAAATAAAGAAAGAACTATTTATAAATAACATTTTTTATGCCTTTGTTCAAATATAAATACTTCCATTAAAATAGGAAATTTCATTTTTATAAATTTTCTAAAATAATTTGATAGCTTCAATAAGTTACGGACACTACAAGACCCAACTTTTTATGATTAGTGTTTGGTTTGTTGTAAAAAAAAATTTTTATAACTTCTATACTATTAGAAATTAGATTTAAATGATTATTAAATAGAAAGTGCATGAACATTAGATATTGTTTCAAGTAAAAACAATTTACTTGCAGAATTAATGCCAATAAGAAAAAAATCCAGTTTAGGAAATCCTGAAACTTCCTTTTTATACGCCCGTCTTAAGACGGGACGTATTATGTTATAGGCTTCCTGTCCGTCTGTCTGTCCGTCCGTCCGTCCGTCTGTTAGCTTTTATCGTGTCCGGCTCATAACTTTAATACTATAAGGCCTAGAGTTATCAAACTTTGTCAGCTGATACATCTTGGGTAGAAGGTGTGTCGCGCACAAAAAGTAGGTCGCTCTGACCTATAATTAAAAAGTTATAGCCAAATATGGAAAAATCCTGTCCGGTCCATAACTAGAAAACTATTAGACTTAGAATCATCAAACTTGGCCAGTTTATGCATCTTAGGTAGAAGGTGTGTCGCGACCTATTTCAAGGTCACTGTGACCTTTAATTTAAGTGAATTTTTTTAAAAAAATGTCTTTTTTTCTATTCATTTATACATTAAAAAAATGTAAAACTACTGCACTAACCTTATTAGAAAAATGTTAAATCAAGAAAATACTTATTTTTTTTTAGCATATACTTGACAGCAATCTATAACAAATATAATGTTAGAGAAATTCTACCACTCCCATGAGTCTAATTATCAAGCACTGGTCAAGAGGAATTTTGATAACAGAAAATTGCATGTCAAATTAGAGAGAGAAATTAATGAGTTTAAGTGTGAGGAGTAGCTGTGAGAGCATCGGTGCTATCTATATCCCTTGAGTATTGGGCCAAATGGGTAAGCCTGTTGGATTAAAAATAACTCTTGTTGGCTAGCCGAAGTTTTAAAATGAATTTGATGAGAAGTAATTAAAACTAATTTGATATTGCACATTAAACTATTTTGATATTACATAATATTATGAACTTAAAAATTAATTTTATGGGGGTAGGGGTGGAATCTGCATGTCCATATGAATTGCATATTAACAATTAACTCTCCGACATTAAATCTAATTAAAAAAAATAATCATTGATGTTTTATATGTTTTAAAAATGTTTTATGGTAGATAGTACAGATCCAATAAGCTTTTGGGAATAATGAGTAGACAAGCATCCAGTTAAAGATTAATTAATGTGTTCAATGTAGGAAGGCTAGTTGCATGTCTCTTTCATTTCTTCAGAGCATGGTCTTATCTGTATCCTTTGGGAATTAGACAGAAGAACTGTTGGTCAGTTTGTATTTGATGGCCAGCCTTTTATTTCCAAAATTAATTAGGTATAGATTAAATTGTGAAAACTAATTTGATATTGTTTAATATGATAGGCATTTGGCAAGGTATAGAAATCTATGAATGATGCAATATTTGTTATAATTAATGCCTGCACCACAGGAGATGGATAAACAAATTTTTTAAGGTGTGTAAAAATCATTGAAATCTTAAAATCAAGGTTGACATGATTTTCCTGCACTTTTAACTGTTTAAGATACGTTGTAATTGTAATTTTTTGACGGGCGTATCATGCTGTGGCGTGGCACTTTATTTCACATAACTTTAACCCGGTATATAACTGAAGTGCAGAAGGAAAGTTCTCGAATTCATTAAAGTTTCAAGAAAACTTTTTAGAATGTTTGTACACTGATCAATGAAGTCAATTAACCAAATTTAAGGGTTACAGACACTACACAATACTTTAATTTTTCACAGACTGGAGGAAGAAGTTTATGTTTTTCAGCCATATATATTCCTAACCTTTTTCAGCATTTCATTTCTCGTTTCAGTTTCTCCCGATTTTTTTATTTTTCAGATCTCAACTTCAGCTGATAAAAGCATGCCATAACCAATATACTTTGAATAAATATATACACGCGTAACTTTATACAGGTGTTATGTGCAAGTAGTTAAGTCAAATCTTGAAGAATAAATCTCACTAATATTTCTTTAATTTACTTTTTTTATTCTGTAACTTATTCTATTTTTCTTCAAACAGTTCAATATACAATACTTGATCTGAAATTGGTGTAATTTTAGTTGTTTTCTTTTTTGAAATTTTTTTGTAGTGTCCGTAACCAAATTACTTTCCCACTGTTTAATGTTTGAATACAAATTTACTTGCATTTAACACATTTTAAGATATTACCTAATAAGCAACTAGACAATTGAAGCAATATATCATAAGAAAAATGGGTTATGTAACTTGTTATAATAATTTTTAATTATTTTTATGTCATTGTGGGTGTCCAGTCATTATTTTAGTACTTAGAGTAAAAAAAAAAAAAACACATGATCTAAAAGAATTCCAGCTAATAAACACTTTTCATCTCTAAATTTAATAATACACTGCTTCAAAAATTTATCTGTAAATTTTATGGAGAAAATAATAAAGATATTTCATTTATCAAATTTTGGTTACCGACACTACACACTCATGACACTCTACAAGTTATTTAAAATTGGATGAAACCTAACCTTAAATAGAGGAATTCCAATAAGATTTTTGTAAATGTAACACCAGTTGACTTAAACAATGAAAAAATAACGACATGCCTTTTGATTTAAATCTTAGAATGTCCATGGCATCTGCCAATATCAAGGTGATGTAACACCAAGGATCTTATATATGGAAATGATGCAATCTGGTTTTCCCAAATTAGTTGCATTTATTTATCAAAATGAGGGAGAAATGATTAACTTGTTAAACAAACTTCTGACCTTTGTGAATAGACTAGCATTAGTGTTTTAACACAGCCTGTTTCAAACTGCCTCAAGTACAGGTTACGGACACTGCAGGATTTTGTAGTGTCCGTAACCACATTTGCGATAATACCAGAGAAACAGAGGTGACGATCAGGAAAATTTCAACACATCTCAGCATATATGAAATGCCTATGCAAGAAATTAGTTTAGATATTTATAGAGCCTTCCAATTTCACATAATTTAAGTGGTTACGGACACTACAGTTTTTTGTAAAAACTTAATTTTCCAAATAAAAACATGATGAAATTTCTTTGCAATGGTTACATAACCCAACTTTTTTTCTGTAAGCTACAGAGCATTAATACTGTGATTTTAGACAGAAATCTTAAAAAAATAAATGATATGGACATTATTTTTATATGGCTTAATGAGAGAGGTAAAATTATGTGAAAAATGTACATGTATAACATTGCAACCCTATTACATTTTCTTTCATATCTTCAAAAGTTGTTGTTCAATCCTGAAAATTCAAGCACCAAAATAATTTGTCAAAAAATTCTGCAAGTCTGATAATGATCATTGGCATGAAAATGTATGATATTTAATCATTTATTTCAATTGAAAATGCTGTAATTTCAAAGCGCAACCGCATAACGCTGAAAAAAGTCATTTTTGGGGTACATTTTTTGCATTCACTTAAATTCTCTTAAGGCTAGATTAACAAAATTTTGCACACAAGTCCTTTATAAGTATTGTTATAAATGAATTATGATAAATTGCATGTAAAGAAAATAACATTTCTTAAAATCATGTATAACAATGTGGTATTCTTAATGCGCCCTATATTGTGTTTCACCCGATAGAATATACATGTAATCCTTGAAATTTCTGCAGATGGGCATAAAAAAGCAAAGCAACTGACAGGTATCAATCATAAGACTTGGTGTATTGCATTCTTTTACAATTTCCTCTAGGTGGTCAGATCATCATTGGAAAGATAAAGGCAGAAGATGGTTAGTCTACAGAATTACCAAAAGAGAGACAACTTCAGAGAAGTTACATGTACTTTTATTATCAAAGTAATCCTGCCTACTAACATTAATTATTGTAAAAATCTTTGAAAGAAAATAACCTACCAAAAGTTGATGGCAAGGTTTCTTCCTGCTGTTTTGTTGGGAAAGGACTGGACTTCATGCCACCAAAATGAAGGCATGTATAGAATTTCACCTTCTTCTATAGTGCAGTTCATAGGGTAAGTTTCTCCAAACAGTGGAAACCTCTGTCAAAGGAAAATCAAAGCTTATTATCAAATATGCATTTTTTCTAAATTTTAGAAAAAGTGTCTAAGTAATAATAATAATAATAATAATGATTGTTTTATATAGCGCTTTTCTAGCATAAATGCTACTCAAAGCGCTTTACAATACATTATTAACCCAGCAGACCTTAACAATCCAGAATCTTTCTCAGTGCAAGCTGCCGTTATCAGCGCTAGAACATTAACATTCTGACAATATCTTTCACTGTCTACAGTCAAATATCAGAAGTCATACACAGTCATCCTTTTATTTTGACACTAAATAAAAATCAATTTTTCAATCCCAGAGGAATTTAATTAAGTTTCATAGATTTTTTTTGCTAAATATATTTACAGAATAATCTGGATTCTGGATGTCAACAGGGGACATAACCATGGACGTGCTTTCCAGTAGATGGCGACGGTGGAATGTATTGGAGGTCTGACTGTAGGAGAGGATCGCCTCTGGAATGTGTCCCTCGTACATCTGATGATTGTTGTGAGGATCAAACAAAATCACCTGCTTTTTTCCACTTATCTGAAAAGGATGCAAATACCACATTGATGTTATACAAATGTTAATTGGTTTATAAATAAATTACACAATAGCATTTTCTAAACTTCTTCAAAATATGACAACTAAATATGTTGAATGTGAACATCTTTGTAATATCGTTTAACTTACTGTACCTGGCAAAGTAGATTGTCAAATTGATCAAAATGCAGCTTTCCCAAAGTTCTTCCATCACTTAGCCATATATTTAGGTGTTTTCTGTTCAGGAGTCCCTGGAATAGTAAATCTTCTCTTATGTCCTCCTCTAGTTCTGGAAGGTGATCGGGAATGGAGGAATACTCCAGATAGGCCGACATATCATTAATAGTCCCATTGGATACTCCTTCAACTATATCCAAGAAACTTGAGAAATTCATGTTCTTAGTGGCTGGTCGTACCACTACCAAGTCTGGAAAGGGTAACTGATCTTCTACTGATTTGGGAATCTCAAACTTTTCGTGATTTTCCCACATATATCGTGGCTCAACTCCTTCATATTCACCCAAGGGTGTCAACTTGATATGGATGTCATTTTTCCCAAATTTATCTCGGAAATATCCGTTTGTCCACTTTGTAAAAGCTGGCCAGTCTTTTAAAACATTTTTGAATATCACTGGCTTTGATATTTTTACATAATTATGGAAAAACTCATCCCTAGAAGGAAAATCAATTTTCTCACATTCTGGAATTCTAGGTTTATTGTTGTGAGCATGAAAATTACGATTGTTTGATGAACATGACTGGTCTTTTACTTTACAATTCTGATTCACTGGTTGAAACACATCTTTTGATTGCACGTCTGAAATGTTTTGAACATAAAATCTTGTTCTGTGGATTTCCTCTTTATGTAGCCCCTCAATAGAAGGACCTCCAGTTGGTGACATGTAGATATTACATCCATCATTGACAAAGTCTATTAGAGTTGTCAGTCCATTCACACCATTAAAAATAAGCGGGACCAAACTCTTCTGAGATGGAGATGGCAGCAAACATGTTCGATCCTTCGGTATTTTCTTAAATAAGACAATTTTTCCTGCCTCTACCCCTTCACCATGAAATGGTTTCCCGTCGGGCCACTTACTATTTATGTCAATATAGCCCACTATAATTCCTAAATCTTTACGTATCAATAAATTTTTAAGGTCTGAAAATTGAGAATTGTCATAAAATTGATTATCAATTTCACAACTGTTCGTCACGAGAGCAACAATACAAGTTGAATGTGCAGTTTCGAGGACAGATTCAGGAGAAAGACAGCTTGACAGTGCGTGAACACAACATAATATGAAGCAAAAGATGTTTGCCCAAAAATTAACCTTCAATTTTCTTAATCTAACGCTTTCTTTTCTCATGTAGCTTCTACATTTCACAACGACAGATTCGTGAGAAAATTCCGGCTGTTGTGGTTTGCGTATTTTATGTTTATCGATCCCGAGGCAATTATTAAAAAAAGTTGAATGTTATATACATGTAAATGACTTACTAAAAAGTTGTTGTAAATCGAACATAATTTATTCTCAAAACTTTTAAACTTAGCCTTGAGTCATGACATTTTATAACGTCTTAAAGGTTCTGGTTGTATTGCTCGCCTTTGATACATTACAGTTTTATCATGCTTTATAGATCCAGTATTATGCACAGTAAATGACCTATATTTGCATGTATCTGATACTTATTGTATACAATCGTGATTTTTTTTCCAAAATGATTCAAAGAATGTACATTCAGCAATCTAGATTTCAATATTTAATTGATTAACCAATTTTATTTATTTATTAAATTTATTTACATGTGTATTTATTTATTTATTATATTTATTTATTTATTTATTTATTTAATGAATGAATTTACGAATATTTACAATAAAATTCAGAAACATTTTATTTAAAGGGAAATTTCAAAGTATCGTAATAAATGGACTGTAGATAGTAAATCAAGAAATTCATAAATTAAACATTATCATTAAATTGTAAAATATATTTTGTCACACCGGCGACGTCGTGTTTTCAACATAAGGGATAACAAAAAGGCAAAGTGCTTATTTCACCATGGTTACTAGTGTATGTGTGGCATATCATTTATCTTTTCAGAATGGAACATCAATACCCAATTTACAAAGCATGTTTACAAGAGGGAAAATCGTTAGATGTTTAACTTCAAGTTAACTGATGTCTTCAATAAACATTTAACAATCATTTTTAGACTTTCGGTTTAAAATTTGTACGTGTACACTGTATAACGGTAGGAAAACATGTAAACTCTAACTTGAAGATAGAATTCGAAGATGCAGAAAATAAATCCCTTAGAAAAATAATGTTTTATTCATTTTTACTTTATTTTACAAACATTTTGATTAAAATGAAAAATTTAAACCTTGTATATAGTAACATAAAACAATAACAATTCAAAAAAAAAAAAAAAATGAAAATTGTGTTTAAAAAGAATTACATGAATTTATTTATATTAACACAGTGTCTGTCTGTTATTCAAAATGTTAATAAGCTAAATGTAAACTGTCAAGATAAATAAGTAGGATAGATAAGCACAATTATTTTTTGGAACGCATTGTAAAGTAATTTGTCAGCATCAGCACTCCCGACGCCATGAAAAATATTCCTCCAATCACAACACATCCATAGGACCACGTGATTCCTTCTCTGACGGATGCCCCGTATACAATTGCGGACAGCAGAATGCTTCCAGCTGAAAAATTAAAATTTAAAATGATTTTTTTTTTTTTTTGAAAAATTCCAAAATATTATGAGAAACGTTTAAAGCAATTATATATTTACATCATTAACTTTTTAAAATAGAATATTTCAAAGTCTTGAATAAGGGTTACTCCGTCTTAGAAGCACTAAGCCCCCCCACCCCCATCCCCCACCCCTCTCTAAATAGTTGTAACATGTTCTTTACTATCCTCTTCCCCTCACCCTTTACTTGTCTTCGTTTAATCTAATTAATCTATTAATAAACTATTAATTAACTGCTTATTTTGTAAATGATCTCTTACCTGTAACAAAGCAAGACAACAGTGCCAAAAAAATAAATTCTTTTGCTGTCAGAAAATCTGGCCACAGAAAGATTCAGAATGACAAGAAATGTGGCGAATAGAGATGCTCCAAGGGCAATAATCTCAAAAACCCTCACAACTTGAAGCCAATCTACAATAGACAAAGGGGAATAATACAGCTCTGAAATTTGTGGAAATTATTCATAAGTTAAAAAAATGAAAGTCGAAAAGAATATGTTAAAACAGTTACATGTAATCATTAAATTAAAAAAAAAACGAATTATTCAGTAAATCAAGTTCCTTGTTGAATTCCATGACAAAATTACATATAAAGAAGAGTTTTTAATTATAAGTTTCATTCATTATTTAAAAAGTTTCTTTTTCACTTCTTTTGGGGGTGGGGGGGGGGTGGGGGTGGAGGGGGTGGGGGGTTAAAAAGTATCGGTTACCTCTTCCAACAATGTTGATATCAGAACAAATTCCATTGACACACCTCCTCCAGATCCCCTCGTCAAAACCTTGGATCACTATATCAATGTCTTTTATAACATCCTGATTGTATTTAAAATGGAGAGATCGCCAGTACGGAGTACAAAATCCCAGCAGATGAAGTAGAAATCCTGTCACTTCTAATACAAGATACAATCGAGTGAAAATATCCGATTTACTTAAATCCGCCATTTCTTAAAGTGTCAACAACAAAATCTATTTCGGCGTTACAGAAAAAACATGTCCGTTGTTTCGAGTTGTCAGCGATATGTCATTTATGCATCATGAGGGAAGTCAAGTCATAAGTAAACTAATTTAGCATTTCCTGAGGGCATTTATAGAAAGGACATAGACAGAGAAATGACAGTGCGGTTTATATAGACTCAGATGATAATCCCTATATAAAACAATTAGAAAATATATTCTGATTAATTTTTAACCTGTGTCTTATGTATCATCAAAATTTTTATTAAATAATAAAGGAAATAAAATAAAATACACCCACTCATAGCAAAGCAATGAAAAATTGGTTTCTATCAATGATGCATAATCCATTTGAAAAACATTAAAAAAGTTTATGAGAAGTTTATTAACGTAATTTTTTTCTGTCTTTGAAATATTTCTTTACAATTTTGCAACAAAAAATTCCGACATCAAAGTTGCAGCTCATATTGCTTTAAAAGCTTAAAGACTTTTAAAAGATATATTCTGAACTGTGTTAGCAGGCAGGCATGGGAAAATTCTAAATTTCTGTTAGAATCAAACATTTAATGTAAACTAAGACCTTTCCTTGATATTAATTGTAGGTATGACCCTCTCAATTTACAAATGTACATGTCTTGTGATTATACATAAGATTCCAAAGTAATCTATCTTGTACACGACGGCTAGCCATTATAAATAAATTACAAAAAGAGCAGATATAATTGATTGACGAACATTGAAGTAATAACAATCTATAAATAAAAAGTTAGTGTATAACATTGTATAAAGGACAATAATTCTGTAAACATAGTAATGAAAAACTTTCTGGTTGATTAAAAAAAAAAACGAACATCGAATATATAAAACATGGATACTTGATTTTTTCAGTTTTCATGTATTTTTTTTCTCAATGAAGTAAATTCATAATAATCAGAACAAGAGGCCCAGGGGCCATATCGCTCACCTGAGCAATTGGCTATGAAAAAGCACATATTAGATCAGAACTGAAAGTTTACTGAGGGGGGGGGGTTGAATTTTAACCCCCCAGGGGGTCATGATTTGAACAAACTAGAATCCACACTACCTGAGGATGATTCCCTAAAGATACCACTAAGCATGACTTTGAAGTACTTGAAAAGAAGATTTTAAAAGGTTTTCCCTATATATTCCTATGTAAAACTTTTATCGGCCATTTGGCCCCACCCTACCCCCGGGGATCATGATTTTAACAATTAAAGTTGAATCTACACTACCTGGGGATGATTCCACATGAGTTTCATCTTTCCTGTCTCAATGGTTCTTGAGAAGAAGATTTTTCCTATATATTCCTACGTAAAACTTTGATCGGTCATTTTGGCCCCACCCTAGCCCCGTGGGGTCATGATTTGAATAAACTTGAATCTACACTACATTTGGATGATTCCACATGAGTTTCATCTTTCCTGGACCTGTGGTTCTTGAGAAGAAGATATTTAAAGATTTCTCCTTCATATTCCTATGAAAAACTTTGATCGGCCATTTTGGCCCCATCCTAGCCCCGGTGGTCATGATTTGAACAAACTTGAATCTACACTACCTGTGGATGATTCCACGAGTTTCATCTTTTTCTGGACCAGTGGTTCTTGAGAAGAAAATTTTTAAAGATTTCTTCTTCATATTCCTATGTAAAACTTTGATCAGCCATTTTGGCCGCACCCTAGCCCCGGGGGTCATGATTTGAACGAACTTGAATCTACACTACCTGAGGATGATTCCACATGAGTTTCATCTTTCCTGTCTCAATGGTTCTTGAGAAGAAGATTTTTCCTATATATTCCTATGTAAAACTTTGATCGGCCATTTTGGCCCCATCCTAGCCCCGGGGGTCATGATTTGAACAAATTTGAATCTACACTACCTGAGGATGATTCCACATGAGTTTCATCTTTCCTGGACCAGTGGTTCTTGAGAAGAAGATATTTAAAGATTTCTCCTTCATATTCCTATGTAAAACTTTGATCGGCCATTTTGGCCCCACCCTAGCCCCGGGGGTCATGATTTGAACAAACTTGAATTTACACTACCTGAGGATGATTCCACATGAATTTCATCTTTCCTGGACCAGTGGTTCTTGAGAAGAAGATTTTTAAAGATTTCTCCTTCATATTCCTATGTAAAACTTTGATCGGCCATTTTGACCCCACCCTAGCCCCGGGGGTCATGATTTGAACAAACTTGAATTTACACTACCTGAGGATGATTCCACATGAATTTCATCTTTCCTGGACCAGTGGTTCTTGAGAAGAAGATTTTTAAAGATTTCTCCTTCATATTCCTATGTAAAACTTTGATCGGCCATTTTGACCCCACCCTAGTCCCGGGGGTCATGATTTGAACAAACTTAAATCTACACTACCTGAGGATGATTCCACATGAGTTTCATCTTTCCTGGACCAGTGGTTCTTGAGAAGAAGATTTTTTAAAAATGCCATTCATATTTCTCTAATTCTAATTATCTCCCCTTGGAAAAGGGCGTGGCCCTTCATTTGAATATTATTAAACTTGAACCCCCTTCACCCAAGGATACTTTGTAGCAAGTTTGGTTGAAATTGGCCCTGTGGTTCTTGAGAAGAAGATGAAAATGTGAAAAGTGAACAACAACGACAACGACAACAACGACGACAGACAACGGACAAATTGTGATC